CTGAGATATTTCTCAAGGGGGAAGCATTAACTAGACAGGCATGAGCTTCTCTGGCGGGGGAAGAATCGTCAGATACGAGATTTAGTGCTTGTTTGCAACGCTACACTTCGCTTTGTGGCTAGTGAAATTTTTTATTAAAGGTTACAACTGTATTATTCATAGAAATATTTCACATGCATTCTCAATTTATTGTCTGCTTTCCTAATTATTTTAGGATCTATATTAATTGTTGTCAATCTTAAGGGTAGTCGAAACTCTTTACTCTCTTCCCGTATGGAGCATTTAAATTTGTGATAGTTTGGGCCCTACAGTCTGAGTCCAACATTCAGGCATCTTCCATGTGTAAAGGTTCGAAGTACAGCACACATTTGGAAAAGGTTTTTCTAATATATAATTTTTCATTCATATTTTGTCGTCAAGTAATTCCCTACTAGTATCTAAATATAACATCTTCCAATAATTATCAAAAGTTAACGGGATTTGAGAGCTTGTTGGTTGAATTCTACAAAATGGAATATAATCCTCTGGATTACTGTACATTGCTTACCCTATATAAGGTCAATTGTAACTCAGTTTTGCACCATCATAATTACGGCTAGGTCAAATTAGCCTTCTAGAAGTTAGCTCCACTAAAGTTATTAGTTTGGAGAAGGCTTATTTTGAATTTATTTTACAATTAGATCTTGACGGCAATTAGGTTGAGTAATCAAATTCACAAAACATCTGCTGCCTAAATCCCTGGCTCTGGATCTGAGTCCCGTTGGGGTTAATGATTAGGTCTGGAAGAGGTCAATCATGTGATCCATTCTGGACGGACGTGCACTGCACAGATAGATAGATTGAAATAACGATGAAGAGAAAAGCTTTCTTTTCGTTTTTTCATGTATAGACTTATAAGCAAGCATTGAAGCTTGAGGTTGTCTTCTTGCCCCAGAGATCACACAGCACTTCACTTGTACCAACCTGCATAATGTCATCTTATATACATTCTGGTAGATCGACGTGCAGACTGCTCCTGCTGTGGATACTGTCGAAATATTGCATTTTTGTAGCTATCCGACTTATACTCGCCTGTCAAATTGACCAGTGATGGTCGGCATTTTGCCACCAACTTCGAAAGCGGCTCTAACTCGTGGCCTATTGTGTGAAAATGGGAAGAAACTTATGGAGCACCTGATGAAGGCAAAAATGGTGAAGCACAAGTGTGAAACCGTTGGCAGACGAGGGGCGGAGTAGACGAAAGATGAGATTGAGGCTGGAAGTAAGCGAAGATAAAGATAAACAGAGAAAATAAATAGAAGGAATGGAGTCTTAGCAACGGGCGGAAGCACTTTGTCTGTCTGCTTGCCCTCTTCTTCGGCTTTTGGCCTGATTCGCCAATGCATTGTGTTGGAAGCAGAAAATCTTCATTTTGCCGACCTTAAAGCTTTCAACTTACGTTCTGCAATGAAGTTTAGGGCTTGTCTTTGCAATATATAATATAATACTCCATACGATAATGGAATATGTAAATAGAAAACATATCTTAGCTTAATACTTTGCCTAGTTTCTTTCTGAATATGATCACACTTTCTGCTTTCTAAGCTAATGCATAAACAAAATGCAGTCTTACTCGATGTTTACGATATATATTGAATTCATTTGGAATCAAAGTACCGGCGCGTCCTGTCTCTATTAAATGCTGCTTAATCATTTCATTTCCCTTGTTTTTTAGACGAAATTTTGCGATATTCTTTACTATTGTCACTCTTCTCGGCACTCATTTTAATCACACTAAGACCTCATCACGTTCGTGCTAGTTACTCAGCTTTTTCTTTACGCTGATTGAGCCTACCCCACTCTTTCCTTCTTTTTTGGAAAATACTTCTGTTTACATATCTTCGTAGTGTACCTGCAGATGTGTGATAGCCGCAATTTGTAGGAAACAAAATTAGATATTGCTCCACTTTTGCCAGCTTTAATGTTTAGCTTCTATGATTGACCTCTCGCATGTATATTCAACTTCTGATTTTCTCGTGTCCTGACTGCTTTCTTTTAAGCCGAGCCATCATGTTCCAGCCGCCCTGCCTTCATTTGGGTCAGCACTGCTCCCGCGACAAAGGGTCACGGTGTGCATGTTCCCTCCACAGGATTGATACCTCCCTTTGCGTTGTGCCTGAACTTCGGAGTGTCTGTGCTATATGCCTGTGCTTTTATTACTATCCAGCACCTGGCTTTGACAATTCCGAATTTATGCGTTTATTGCAGAATCTCGTTATGCTTCCTTCGCTCGCGCTCCTCTACGTCCTGGACACGTTTGCACCGGTTTCTCGCCCTAACACATCTTTCTATACCTAAGTAGGGCAATTATATTGAAATCTCACTCTGATGTGATTTTAATGCATCGACGCTTGGAATGAATCTCTGATGGCTTCGTGTACATATCATTTGGCCAGATTCGATTAACATGGAGATGAATGTGCGCTCGTGACCCACTTAGCAGACCCGTTGTAAAAAGCAGTCGGGAGCTTTATTGATTCATCTCCTTGTACCACCAAATAGCACAGATTTTTCATTATTTATTATATTTTGCGCTAATCCCCGCAACTAATAACCACTTTTTTGGGACTTGAAGTTGTCTTCTGAATGAAGTTCTTCGGAATTCAAGACGAACAATTAATTAGATCAGCTTTTGAATTGCTCGGATTGGTTGATTTTAGCACATTCACTAAACTTTTACACTGGCCGAATAAAACTGTATGCAGTGGCCAAATATTTGAGGGAATACTCTGAAAATATCCTATATTTCACCTCTTGCTAGCACTAGCCTCAATATCTGCTATAGTCTTGCTTTAATTCAGTACAACACACATTCAAACGATTTTCTTTAAGAATTTCTTACATTTTGTTTACTCGTTGATAGTATAACCCAGTATCTGTGTTTCATCATCATATTTTGCGTACTACTTTATGGCTCCGTAATTGAACCGCATCTTTTGGAAAGTATGCGACAAAACTAAATAATAATACCCCCTTTTTGGGTTTCTCTCAGCCATTTCTTGTGCTATCTGAAACTCGGGCTCTAGCTCCACTGAAACATTTTTATCCTGCCGGATAATCACTATTAAGCAACTTACCTTGGATTTGCACCGCTAGTAAGTAGTATAGTGAGGTCTAAAATACCTTTCACTATAGTTTTAGCTGGCAATTTTGAACTTAGATGAGATTTATTCACCATATTTCGTTTAAGGCAATGAAGGACTGGCAGCAGAATTTTCCCACAATGAATTCCACTGAGCCTTGCTTTCACAAAATTTGTTCTCATTCCGGCTGGGGTGGACTGCAGTTTCGACCTCAACACCCCCAGCGGGAGTCGAACCGGGAAAATGCAGAATATGAGCTCGACACGTTAACCACTCGGCCACATTGCCACGAGTGTCCTTGGGTCGAAACTGCAGTCCA